ACTGCCTGTGCGTTAATCTGAAGAGAGCAACGTGCACAGAACGAGAAAGCAATAAGCCTTTCATTTGAGATGCGTTCACACCATATCGGCAACGTGGCACTCAGCTGCGAACCTCTCTAGGCAGCACTGAAGATCAGTTTCAAAAGATGCCGGTCGTCTGCAAACAGCAACCTTCTCCACATCTCCTATACCGGTACAGTCATCGTTTTGGCTGCTCCTGACTATTCTATCCATATACAACACAAACAGCAGAGGGGATCGGATGCAACCGTTTAAAGGCTTCTCTTAACGGCGCTTACTCTGACGCAGCACAAGCTGTCAGAATACAATGATTGGATGACCCGTAGCAGCTGGCCATCTATCCCGTATGCTCGCAGGCATGACCACTGTGGAATCGGTAATAGGTTTTTTAGGTCAACAAAGCGCATCTACTCCGGATGGGCGAACTCCAACGATTTCTCAACACTCTGGCAGGACACATGTATGACCAGCGGTACTTCGTCCGTGTCGGAAGCCACACTGCTCTTCTTGTAGCATGAAAGCAGCTATTTCCCGGCACCTCCTTTCTATTCCACAGACTTTACCTGGAAGGCTGAATAAGACAATACTTCGATAATTATAGCACTTCCTGTGGTCTCGCGTCTTAAACAGGAGTACAATATTTCCGTTCTTCAGTCCGCTGATGTCTTAACCATACCCATTATTGTTTGACATTTGGCCCATACGTGTAAGAAAGCACATGCTTTGAGCGCATCAGGGCAAATTTTATCAATTCCAGCAACCTTTCCACTTTTCAAGCTTTTCAGAGCTAGCATGATTTCACCTATAGAAATAATAATATCTGTTCCATGGTGCTCTGCAGGCCAGTCTTAATGTTTTTGCTCGGGATTATGGAGTTCGTTAAAGTACTCTCTTTATCGCCGAAGAATATCCTTATCTTCGGTAAGAGAGTTTCCATATCTGTCCTTCAAGACTGCTTTTTTTTCACCTCGGAACCTTCGAATGGTCCGCTAGAACACCTCACCGAACTTCTCCCAGAAATCAGCTTTGGCCTTCGCCACTGCTTTCGCTGCGTCCTGCGTGCCTCAACATATCGCACGCGAATAGAAAGCTCGTTGTTTCCAAGCCATTTCTTGAACGCTGGTTTCTTTAACTGAAAGTTGTTCCTCTCGTGTCCACCAGGAAGATCTTTTCTGACCTCCAGGCGGCAGGCCAACCCGTTTAAATCCGCAGCATTCGGCGGCAGCCTCGAGTTAAAGAGCTGCCACTTAGTTTCCACATCAGTAGTCATCACCGGGATCTGTTCAAACCGCAGTGCGATGTTCTTCGCAAATTTTGCTCGCGTGTTCACCGAAGGAAATGTTTCTCATTTGATTATATAGATGCTTCAGCCACCAGATCTTCGCATGGTACTCCATTTCTTACAGCGCAGCGTGCCAGCAACAGGTTGATGATCGGTTGACTGCTCTGTGTCTCTCTTAACGCGAACACTCATTGCAGGCCGTCGCATTTTAGACGATACAATTATTAAATTGATCCTCAACATTTGTGGACGAGGCTTTCTGTGACAGGTATACTGATGGACGCTTCGATGATCAAAAATGTGTTCATAGAGGAGGTGGTTGTTTGCACGAAACCTCAGTGGCTTGATGCCGTTATTCTTGAGATCGCTAGGATCCTTCTTTCCAATCGCGCCTTTACACTTTTCGGCGTCTTCTCCGTCGTGCGGATTAAATTCGCCCTTGAGAATGAGAACTCAGCAATTGCTATTTCGCTCATAGGAGACTCAAGTTCTCAAGTGGGGACTCATATTTCCCCTCTAAATTAGGCGCATGGACCTGTAAGACAGTCCACGTTTTAGCCTGTTGTGCCTTCAATCGGAAGATTACCACTCTTCCAGTAGCAGGCTTCCATTAATGATTTTGTCAGCCAGGTTGAGTTTTACAAGGACAGAAAACACCGTTCTGAGCACGCATTGTGATATCGACACCTATTAGAATAGCTTTCACCCGAAGAGGTACAGGATTCCAGAGCCTTGGCACTTCGTTGACGACAGTCCAACAATGTCGAGTTGTTACTTTATGACCTCATCAGCTAATTCTTGTTCTTTTCCTCTGAGTGAGGATATGTTCCAATTTCCGACTT